ATACTGTCATCTGGACTGTGATAGACTTGTTTTCGAAGCAGGCTCATTTCATCGCCTGCAAAGGACTCCCATCTGCCCAACGACCGACTAAATTGTTCCTGAAACATATCTACCAGCTGCATGGAGCCCTTAAATGAATAATTTCGGACAGGGGGGTTCAGTTCACAGCTAAGGTTTGGAGGAGTTTTCTTAAATTAATTGGATCATCTCAAGGTCTATCATCTGCTTTTCACCCGTCTACTAATGGGGCCGCAGAAGCCGTTAACAAGATGGTGGAGCAATATCTCAGATGTTATACTTCCTACCAACAAACCAACTGGACCGACCTCCTCCCTTTTGCAGAGATGGCTTACAATAAAATCTGTTCACAGCAGCACTAGTTTCATGCCTTTCATTGTGGCTACAGGAAAAGAGTTCAGCCCAATACCTGAATAGCCTCAAGCGCCCTCCGCTTCTCAGACACTTGATCAGTGGGTGAGGGGATGGGAAGAGGTTTGGAAAGCCATGAAAGCTGCTTTAAAAAAGACTTCCAAGACTTATAAAAAGCAGGCAGATAAAAAGAGAGCCCCTCAAAGAACATTCCAAGTTGGGGAAAAGGTTTATCTGTCAACTAAATATTTACGCCTCAAATTACCCAGCAAGAAATTAGGATCAAAATTCTTGGGGCCTTTATTCATCATAAGGATCATCAATCCAGTCACAATAGAATTAAAACTCCCTAGGCTTTTAGGGAAGATTCACCCTGTCTTCCATTGCAGCTTGTTAAAACCTTTGCAAGAATCCACTTTAAGACCTCCCCCTAAGAAGGCACCCGGACCCCTTGTAGTGGCAGGTCAAACTCACTATGAAGTAAAGCGTATTCTTGATTCTAGAATTTTTAAAGAGAAATTGCAGTACCTAGTACAATGAAAGGGATACTCGCTATCTAAAATCACTTGGGTGAGATCTAGCGATGTGAAAGCCGACAGACTCATCAAAAGGTTCTATAAGAAACACCCTAACAAACCGAGAGATAGTCCCTAACATCTGCTTTTGTTTATGCTACAGGATCTGTCTTTTTTGTAAGGGGGGCGGATGTCAATGCTGCTAACATTGGATGTTCTTGCTTTGACAACATAAAGAGATTCAGCCTTTTTCTTTCTTACGCTTTACTCTTAGAATTAGATGATACTGGGGGAGGAGGCAGATTGTGGTGGGAGTTAGTTAGACATAACAATATTGTACTAGTGTGTGAAATAAGAGATGATAAGAATTGGCGGGTAGCAGAACAGGAGGGGAAGCCTGCATTTCAAACTAATTGGACAATGTGATTTATGACTGTTAATTGAAGGAGGGAATTGTGCTTTGATACTATGTGCTCAGGGGAGGGGAATCCAGTTTTTAGCTTCAACTATGTTAGTGCTGAAGCTATACTATTCCCATAAAGATTCTTTAAGGTAAACAATGCCTTGAAGTTATTTGAAGAGTTTCATCTGTCGGAACCATGACAGCACATTTTATACCATGCCTGAAACTCCCGTTAGCCTGGCTCCTAGCAAAAATGTTCGTGCAGCACATTTACAGATTATCTTGGAACGGGGGGGTGCAGTTTACTGCAAAGTTCTGGTGGATACGTGACCCTGATAGGCTCATCCCAGGAGCTTAGCTCCACTTTTCATCCCAGAACTAGCGGATCAGCAGAGCGAGCTATCTTAATCGTGGAGCAATACCTAAAGTATTATGTAAATTATTAGCAGACTAACTGGGCTGAGCTGCTGCTGTTCATTGAGGTGGCTTACAATAACTTGGTCCATAGCAGCAAAGTACATAGCAGCACTCCTTTTAAGGTGGTTACGGGCATTGTGTTCATAGTCATACCAGAGCTTTACCCCAGGACTCCGTCCTCTGCAACACTGGTGGAATGGGTGAACTGTCTGAGAGGCACATTGGTTACGGTGCGCAAGGCACTAGGGAAAGCAAGAGAGGCCCAGAAAAAGCAAGCCGATCGGAAGATAACCCCCCAAAGGGAGTTCAGGATGGGTGATAAAGTGTACTTGTCCATAAAGTATTTAAATCTAAGACAGCCCTGTAAAAGCTGGGTCCTAAATATATAGGGCCTTTTTCTATTGTGCAGATTATAAACTCGATGACAGTGGAGCTACAGATGCCAAGAAGTCTTAGGCGGCTCCACCCAGTGTTTCATTGCAGTCTGCTAAAGTCCGTTCAAGATTCCAAGCTAAGGCCAGTTGGAGGAATCCCTCTACCTCAAATCCTTATAAAAAGGGAGGAACACTATGAGATTAAGGATGTCTTGAACCACCAGAGAAAGTTGCAGTTCCTTGTGCAGTGGAAGGGCTATCCCATAGTGAATGCTGAATGGGTGGCCACAAAAGACATTAAAGCAGCTAGATTAATAAAGAAGTTTCATGCCAGGTGCCCTAAATGACCAAAGTGAAACAATGTTTTGAAAATGGTAAATTGTTTACGATATTGTGTCTTTGTGTTCATTCCAGATGTATCTTTCTTCCAGGGGTTTGGCATGTCAAGAGTGATTTGCTTTTCACCTAGTTTCTTCTCCACTCTCAACTTGACAACAATCGGAAGGGGGGTGGTTGAATCTGCAAATTGTGAGGCCCTGCTCCCTATTTCAAGGTCACGGTGTGCAGGTGTTCGAACAATCCAGGCAGTTCCGATAACAAAATGAGCATAGTTAATTCCACACGCAATGGACTGAAGGGAAGAATTTCTTTCTTGGATTCACTAGCTGGACAGCTGACACCTACCTGCTTGGAGACAAATCACCTCCTGCTTTTTTCATCCTTCCTTTTCTTCCCAAATTTAATGAAAGAGACTACAACAGGAATATCAATGATAGTGATAAAAAGGAATTACAACTTTTAATAGAATAGAAAAAGATCCATGCAATATTAATACACAACTAGCTTAGTCCTTTAACATGTTATTAAAAATCTAGGTCATGTACAAACATACTGTTCTATACTCTTGTTTCTCCATTATAAAGCTGTCTTGAAAATCAATGGAAAAATATTTTTCTTGAATCCTCCCTGTGTTTGGACTGTTCTTTTCTTTCTGCCTGATTGAGATTATTTTCTTAACTAATCCCTGGACTCAGTGAAGCCAAAGTTTCACATGAAATGTCAAATGCCATATTTTTGGAGTGTAGTGAAGTGTCACATGTATATCTCTAAAAATGACATGTTTTTCTCACAATGTTGAGATTTAAAATAATTTGAGACAAAAAAGCCATGAAGAACATGATTAACTTATATGGTTGAACACTCCTCGACTTTATAACTACAGAGATCGTATAACTTTTATTACAGAGAAAAGCCCTTTCTTTCAGAAAGCTGTTGTTTAGATTTATTTTTCAAAAACTCAGTTTTGTTCTTTATTTTAGTCATTTAAGTTTTACTATACAAATCGTACCACTTAATGCACAATCTGACTGCAGAAATCATTTTCATTCCTTGGTCCTTATAGCTTCATAGCTTTTTATGTTTTTAGATATTTTTATTAGAATATGTATTTTTGTAAAGTTTTTCTTGGTTTTGTTCTTGAATATTCCTTTGTAAAGCAAAGTATAAACAAAGACATAAACAATTTTTTATCCTTATGAATCTCTTTCATATTTGCCCCTTTTCAGGTTTGTATTTTTTTCCCAAGAAAATAGAATAGAATAGAACAGAATAGAGCTGGAAGGGACCATGGAGGTCTTCTAATCCTGCCCCCTGCTCAAGCAGGAGAACCTATACCATCTCAGATAAGTGACTGTCTAGTCCCATCTTAAAAACCTCCAGTGATTTCTGAAGGCAAGCTGTTCCACTGGTTAATTGTCCTCACTGTTAGGAAGTTTCTCCTTGTCACTGTACCACTGTACCCCAGCTTTAAAAAATTGACACCCATCTTTTTTCAAAAATTATTTGAGGAGTCCAATAAAGCAAAAAACCTTTAAATCAGAGATTGTAGTATTTTGGATTTGATTTGAAAGAGGAACTTTAGAATATGCAAGAGTGTAAATGCAGCACTTATTTAAAACTCATTAAAATAGCTATATTTTCCCCTCTTCCATTTTTGTAAGCAAAGAAGTAGTGGATAGGGCAATTGTCAATTGCCCATGGCAAACATGGCACATTGTGTTTTGTAAATGACCTGATAGCGCTAGCACTTAGGCTTATATACTTTACAGCACTCTCTGAGCGGTTTATAATGTCAACATATTTCCCCAACAATTTGGGTCCTCATTTTACCGAGCTCAGAAGGATGGAAGGCTGCATCAATGAGCCAGATCGAACTCCTGGCTGTGGGCAAAGTTAGTTTGCAATATTGCATTCTAATCACTGTGCCACCATAGCTGGTTTCTTATGTACCGTATATACTCGAGTATAAGCCGAGTTTTTCAGCCCATTTTTGGGGCTGAAAAATGCCCC